GTGCTAGCCCATCCAAAGTGACAACTCTTTACATAATCAAGTCGGGCTATTTCCTGCATAGATCCAGGTTTTCTCACTTCCCCCCCACCCCCATACACACACAAACTCACTCTCCTGCTGGTAATAGCTCATCTAAACTGACCACTCTCCAAGTTTAAATCCAAGTTAAACCAGAACATCTGGGGGGGGGGGGGGGGGGGGAAAAAACAAGAGGAAACAGGCTACCTTGCATAATGACTTAGCCACTCCCAGTCTCTATTTAAGCCTAAATTAATAGTATCCAATTTGCAAATGAATTCCAATTCAGCAGTTTCTTGCTGGAGTCTGGATTTGAAGTTTTTTTGTTTTAAGATAGCGACCAAAGGAGTACTTGTGGCACCTTAGAGACTAACCAATTTATTTGAGCATGAAGGAGTACTTGTGGCACCTTAGAGACTAACCAATTTATTTGAGCATGAAGGAGTACTTGTGGCACCTTAGAGACTAACCAATTTATTTGAGCATGAAGTCCAGAACAGAGTCCAGAAATGCCTCAGGATGGGCAGATGGTCTAAAAACTGCCCAAAATGGGTCAAAGAGATAATCAGATACCAGCCCCCATACAAGTTAATGCAAAAGCCATCATGGAGAGAGATCCTCCACGGTCAGCTTAGTCACCAGCTCCAATGTGATCTCCAATAATCGTCTTGAGCAATACAACCCAACAATCAACCCCCAAAATACTCCCAAATCCACACACGCTACACAGTCCAGAAGATGTCGCCCCCAAAAACCCACTGCCCATATAACCTAGTTCAAAAAGACCAAATGCTAGTCACTAAAAACTTCAGAAATAGCCTGGAAGACCACCCCTAAACAGCACAAAAGAAAAAGAGACTCCCACTGTTCCCTAAAAAAAATAATTAAAAATAGAGGCTTAATCAGTCCCCAAACACCAAACCCAAATCCAGCTCCAACCCCCCTTCAAAATGTCCCTAATAGCAGAACATTCCTCAACTTACTTAAAGGTTAAACATGACAAAAATTCATCCAAAGAAGTTCCCCAAACCATTGAAATAGCATAAAAAAGTGAGCTAAAGCAAGCCAAAAAGGTACCCAGAGTAGGAGTACAGTGCTTAAGGTTTGAAAAGGTCCAAGAAGTGCCCAGAAATGCCCAAGAGGGTTTATTTGTTTTATAAAAATATCAGGAAATGGTCCAAAATGATTTTTTGTTTTCAAATGGGGTAAAGCAAGCACCCAATAGCACTCAAAGGGTCCAAACATAGCCCAATGGTAAAGAAGGTGTCAAATCCTATCTAAATTGTATCATAAAAATGTCAAGAACTCATGCGGTCCAAAAGCTGCTCCAAAAGACCTTACCCTTTTACTTGCTGAATTGTTTGGACAAATAATTTTCAGGCTATGAGTTGCTTGCCAACTGTTCACTTTAGACAAGTCACTATTTGAATGATGTGGTTATTCACTACACCATTCAGTTATATTATTTCTCCTCCCTAATTAGATAAATGAAACTTTAGTAGAAAAAACAGTGATAAAACAGCAACAGCAAATATTACACTTCTAGTATAAATAATCATTAACACTAAAATGCCTAGAATTTTCATGATCATGAGCATTTTCCTTAACATCTTTCTGTCCCATGTAATAATGTGCACTTGCAGTATATTATTTAGTCACTAGATGTCTTTGCGAGCCACACATAATTCTAGATTGGGTCCTGTCACTGGTAGACAAGAGACAAAACTAGTATTTAAGCTAAGTGGAAGCCTTCTGTATGTGTCCATAGTCTGTGGTTGTTTTCTTTAATAAATGGGTCCTGATTAGGATGGACTGAGATTCCATATTTCAGAACATTCCTCAAATGCACGTGAACAACAAATTACATGGATCGATAAAATCGTAAAAAACTGAGCTAAGCACTTTTTTCATGAACATTTTGCAAACTGTTTTTAAAATATTGGATTAGTATTATTCCTAAATATTTTATGCTATTTTTTCCCCCACTGAAAGATTGCCTTGAAAACTTGTCTGGATTTAGATCTTCATTAGTGGATCATCTACAAAAAGCAGTTTTTTCCTTCTGATAAATGTATTATATGCAGAGCGGGCAGTACTGCTTATAGATATAGTTGCTTTACAATTCCCCTTATAAGACCATGTTTGTTCAGTTGCTTGTAACCATGCTAAAACTTTAACTGTTTGGGCTGAAATTTTCATGCCAGGTATCTGTCTTAGGTTGATTTCTTTTCTTTTTTCTTTCTTTTTTTGAGAAATTTCAGCTTAAATGGTTCTGTTGGTTTTGAGACTGAGGTTAGAAAAAAATAAGTTTTACCCATGTTAAAAAAAATTCTTACAATTTTTTAGATGCGGAGCTCCTGCATCTCCATGCTTGGAAGCAATGTCTTGAATTTGGTGCATCTGTGGGCAGAGTCTGGTGCCAGGAATATGCTTTTGGCCATCTCTGCGAAAATTCACCCAATCTGGGTCAATTTATAAACCACTGAGAAATTGCTGTTCACACACACTCCAAATCTTGTCGGAATTTGGCAGCTAAATTCTCTGAAGATTCCATTTGTACCGAGCATGAGGAAACTTACAGTTGATAAATGCAAAGTAAAGGACATTGAAAGGAAAAAAATAAACCACCCATATGCCTTATGAAGTTCTAAAGTACCTGTGTCAACCCAAGAAAGGGACTAGAGCATCACTGTAGATAGCTCAATGAAAACCTCTACTCAGTGCACGGCGCTGGTCACAAAAGCAAACAAGAAGTTACAATGGATAAGAAATGGAATAAAAGATATTATCAGAAATATTAGAATGCCTTTATATAAATCAGTGGTGCTGCCTCATCTGGAAACTGTGTGCAACACTGATCACCCTATCTCCAAAAAAATTGCAGAACTGGAGGGAGTTCAGAGAAAAGTGACACAAATGATCAAGGGCCTGGAAAAAACCTCTTCTCAAGAGAGACTGAAAATATTGAGTGTTTACCTTAGAAAGGAAATGAATAAGAGGGGACATACTAAAAATATATAAAATAATGAATGGTCTAGAGACATTAGACAGGGAATATCTGTTTTCCTGGTGTCATAACACAAGATCTGTGGGAATTTCAGTGGAAGTAAAAGGTGGGAAATTCAAAACAGATAAAAACGAAATACTTTCTCACATGTGTGATGGAAAATGTAAATGGTGGAACTCCTTGCTACAGGAAGTCATTGTGGCCAAGAATTTAGCAAGATTCAAAAAGAGATTGAATATTTATATGGATATTAAGAATTTGTGGAGTTGTTATAATTAAATGTCAATGAATGTTTGGAAGGGATTTTAAACCCCCTGGCTAAGGGTTTAAACTAATCTCTAATTATCAGAGACCAGGATGAGCATATGTGGGGCAGGCAGATTATCCCACATCTGCTACTTCAGAAGTCTTACACCTTTCTCTGAAACTTCTGGTTTTAGCCACTGTCAAAGACAGGATATTGGACTAGATGGACCTTGGGTGTTAATGTTCGTGATTCTTATGTTCATGCTCCATCCCTTCACGGCTCTGACATGTGACTGCACAATGCCTGTTTCATCTTCACAGAACAAGTGAGTATATTCCATCTCAGGGGCTGATATATATAACTGATGTTTCTACGTGCTGGGGGGCCTCTGGGTGTTGGAAGTGAGAGCAGGGGGACTGTCACTTCTGTACTTTCAATGGACCCCCTGCTGGCATCCAGGCAACGAGGAGGTGAAGGAGGCACCTGCCTGACTGGAAAGCACAAGGGGAGAGTAGGTTGCAAGACCCAGAGGGTAGTGAGGAGAGAAGAGGGAGGCAGAACAGGAACCAGAGTTTTCAGGGGAAGCAGATGTAGAGGGAATGGAAGCTTGTGAGAAGTGGCTGGTGGATACGAACAGCATTGGATGGGGGAAGGGACTGTGGGCATATACAGGAGCTGAGGATAAGGGGGTTCTGGGGGGAAAAAGGTAGCATGTGCTCATGTAATTACACACCGTATCATTATGCATATGTACAAGGGAGCCAAACTGAAGTTGCACAGGCAACCTTAATTCTGGCATTTCCTAAACTGAGTGCTTGACTTTGAAAGAAGAAGTTACTCACCTTGTGCTGTAACAATGGTTCTTCAACAATGGTTCCCTACGAGTGCTCCACAACCCGCCCTCCTCCCTTCTACTTCAGAATTCTTGCCAGTGACTCTGTGGTAGAGAAGGAAGTAAGGGGCAGGGGGCCTTGCCCGTACACGCTGGCTAGCCTCATGGCATGGCCCAAGGAGGGACAGCGCATGTGTGGGCCTAAAGGCTACTGGTACCAAAGTTATCAGTTCAGTTGTACAGGGACGCAAGCCAGAAGTGGCAGAAGCTCCCTAAAAGTGTGTGTGTGTGTGGGGGGGCACCAGAACCTGAACTGTGGCCCTGTCCCCGTCACCGACCGCTCTTTCTCCCCAAGGCCCTGCCCCGCCTCTTCCCACTTTTAAAAGTGATAGGGCCATATCCATGTTCTGGTTCTCCTGATGCAAGCATACCTACAGTGGAGCACCCACAGGGACACTACTCAAAGAACCACTGTAATGTTCCTTTAATGTATGGTTTTTTTAAAATGTACTATGAAAATAAAATGGAATAAAGAAGCGATCCAAAAGGGTTGGAAAAAGTGTGGGGGAAGAAACCCTACTGTGCAGGTGTTAGCTTTGAATTTACTGTTGTTTGTAAGATTAAAATCTCAGCCTTAGTGTTGCACTAACCGAGGATTTTCTTATAGTTTTAATTCTGTAGTTCCACTTACTGCACTGAAAAAGCACACAGGGGAAAAAGAGAAGTTTTGCAGTTCAGAGATTTTGAAAGTAAGCAAGTGATGGATAATGATACAACCACATAAAAGTACACCATGTAACTTGTCAGATTTTTGCATAGTATGCTACAGAAAACTTCCCCGCCCTTTTCCCCACCCCCAAATCTCCTTCCCTGTCTAAACTTTTCAGTCAAGAGAATCAGTTCAGAGACACTATGGGCAATCACAGAGGGGTGTAAGTATCTACACAAACTGCACTTCTTTAACCTCAGAGGAATTTCTCCCATCTCCACCATGCTGATGAAATGAAGGCTCCTCCAGGCATGCGGGCGAACAGAACTGTACTGCACATCCTTCTTGTGGTGCTGTCTCTGGATCACTGTCAGGTTTATGGTAAGATGCTTTATCAATCTAATGTGACTTAAGTTACTAGCCTTCATAGAAAGCCGTGTACTCAAATGATTTTCAGTGCAGTCTGGGTGAGGAGAAATTCAGACTGTGAAACTGTGGTATGCTGGATTATGATGGAATAAGATACAGGACGTGAATCTAATAAGGTAAAATAATGAGCACATGGATAATGGATATTAAAACCAGGCCTCTAAGTTACTGTCTTGACTGAAATTCAGCTAATTGGAACGGGGATCTCTCCAGTTCCTGACCAAAGCCTCTGCCAGCTGTGCAAGGGTAGAACCCAAGCACCTTGTTAAAGTCCTAAAGTTCTACCAGGTGTGGTTTGACCCCAGAGTGCTGGCAGAGTGCTTGCATGTCCATACCTAGAAGTTACCAATGTGGCCTCAGTCACATGTCCTAAAAAATCCAGGGCTCTAATTTTCCTCTCACTTTCTGCAGTGAAACTGTTGACTTTAACAGTGGTTCTCCTGATTTATACCAGTATAAGGGAGAGCTGATCCCTGTATTTACAAAGACATTGTGCCTAATTCATCTATGATAATTTTTCTGAACTCAGTGGCATTACAACAGAGACTTTAGCCCATGTGATTATGGAAAGAGAGGTTCTGGGTTATCTCACAAAGAAGAACAGCCCTTTAAATTTATCCTTTGTGTTCGTGGTTAAAAAATTTTTTTGTCAACGATGACAAAGACGAGCACATCTATTACAACTGCTTATTGCCTCTCATGTGTTTGCTACTTTTAATTCAGTCTGGATTAGTCCAGTCCATTCCATTTGTCCAAAATAGTGTGAAACAGTGCACATAATATGCTGTAAGCATTAAACTGATTTTGAATAGTTATGCTATGTTAACCTTAAAGTTGTATTTCCACCACGGCTATAATTTACGGCAAGGTACATAGTCGTAATATTGACGAAACACTGCTATTAATAGCATGAGACAACGAATTAAGTTAAGGTGCATGTCATTAGCAGTTTAGCCACAGATCATGGGAAAGTCAGAGGTGTGGGGTAAAGGACGTGCCCTGCCCAGTTAGCGATGTGATCGTCTCTACCACTGACTCAGTGTGTGACCAGATTTTGGGCAAGTCACTTAATCTCTCAGTAATTTGTTTTACCCATTTTAAACTAACAACTATCTACCTCAAAGATTTTGTGAGCTTCTACAGCTACTGACCATCTCCCTCAGGGCTCTGTGGAAGTCTACTCTTCCCTTCTTAAGCTTCCTTGTTGAACTTAGTGTCACTCTGCCATTGCCCACTCCCATGTCTGGCAAATGGCCAGTGTCTCAGATAATCACTTCTCTGCCTTATTCCACATGGTCCATGTGCATGGGTCAGCCTCTCCAAATTCATCACCTTAGCCTCTCCACATTTAAGTCTTGTCAAAAATCTATTTTTGCTGCGTGGGCTATAATGAATCTTGTTTTTGTTCCCTTTCCCTGACTCTACATCTAATGCTGTCTGTCTGTCCTTTTTGAACTCCTCAGAGCAGGGGCCATCCATTCTTATGTATTTAGAAAGTGCCTTGCATATCATGCATGCATGCAAACAAATAACAGAAAGGCATCAGAAATATTACACAGTGCTGAAATTTGCAAAAGCAGTCTCCATTATTGCCCCATGATTTCATACGTTCATAACTTTCTGACACATTTACATTTTGGCCATGAATTTCTTATGCTTGTTATTCGCCTAAAAGTGCATTTATCTGAAGAGTTTAAGCCAAATTGCTTCAGCCATTTTTGACATAGGACTGAAAATGTTTCCCCTCCCCTAACACGGACAAAAACTGACCCTTTTTGCCTCTACAGAGGCAGCTCACCCTTGACACTTGATGTAAGGAGTCATCAGTAAGGAGTGTATGCTTTCTTAAATTTGGAAAAAGTAGTATTACCTCACAGGCACAAAATGTCAAATGAGTGGAAAATCTCTGAACATGCTCAGTATGCCTCTATTATTTTTAGCCTAATAAAACCACACCAACTCTGTGACATGAAAGTGTATTTTTTCCCCACCCAGCCTGATGGGCACAGGAACTGCTGCTCTCAAGCAGCTGCTGAGGCAATCTGCATGGAGAATACTATAGAAGTCTCCCCAAAACAGAGTCCTGCCAAAAGTATTGCCTTAACATCAGGGAAAGGAGAAGATTGGATGGAAAAAATGAAGGACTCATGGTTTTTGACTCTCATACCAGTATGGCTGCATTGTACACTACTCTGCAAATTCTAAACTTCTGTTAAAAAAAACCAACAACTTATTATCAAGCTGCAGCCAAAGTGATTTCTTTCCATGGTTGACATGACCTTGCAGAGAACTTTCACCAGCCAGAAAACAGCAACAACTTTTCTATCAAGCACCTCAGTGGAAAGATGAATTTCAAACAGTAATTGTTATTGTTATTCACAGGAAAATTTCTCTTTGTAGATAAAGAAGTACGTTGATGAAGCATTAAGAAAGCTCTGATAAAATAAAGCAAAGAAAGGCAAAAAATAAGCATCTAATAACAATATTAATTCAACCATGTTTCATTTGTGGAATATTTTGTGACTTTTTAAAAAATATCATATTGGATATTTAGCTATATAGAACACGACATTTGTGCAACATGACTGAGATAGTTCTGCTGTGGGAACCTTAATGTGTGCACTCGTGTTTTATCCATTAGTCCACTCCAAACGTCAAGGAAATCAACTAGAAGAGTGCCTTCTGCAATACTCCTCTCTTTGGTCTCCTTTCCCTGTATTGCAGATGGGAGCAGCAGCAGATTTGCCCCTGAATTTCTCTCTCTCTCTCAGGTAGCAGATTAGCATAACAAATTAGCAGATGTCACTGCCACTCTATGTTCTTTAAACCAGAGGCTCTCAACTTTTCTAACTACTGTGCCCCTTTCAGGAGTCTGATTTGTCTTGTGTACTCCCAAGTTACACTCACTTCAAACTACCTGCTTACAAAATCAGACATAAAAATACAAAAGTGTCACAGCACACTAGTACTGAGAAATTGCTTACTTTCTCATTTTGACGATAAACTTATAAAATAAATCAATTGGAATATAAATATTGTGCTTACATTGCAGTGTACAGTGTATAGAGCTGTATGATGTAAGTTAGGTCGACATAATTTTGTAGTGTAGACATGGCCTGAGTCCTTCTAGAGTGCCTCTTAGCATAGTACCTCTCTCGACACTTACAGCAGTGCAGCTGTGCTACTGTAGTGGTTAATGAGGATGCTACCTGTGCTGATGGGAGAGCTTCCCCTATCAGCGCAGGTACTCCACCTCCCCAAGAGATGGTAGGTATATCAACAGGAGAAGCCCTCCCGTTGACATAGTGCTGTCGACACTAGGAATTCAGTTGGTGTAACTGCGTTACTCAGGAGTGTGGATTTTCCACACCCATGAACAACATAATTATACGGACGTAAGTTTGTAGTGTAGACCAGGGCTGAGCATATAAAGAGTTTTACATATCAAGAACACAAATATTCAGAGAGTTGGCAAACTGGTTTTCCAAAATGTAAGATCACCCAAGCCCCAAACTTTTGTCCCAAACTTTATGTTTACATGTGATCTTGCAAACGGGGGTTGGTTTGTGCCCTTTGTTGTTTCTTTATGATGTCTAAGTGTGGCTCAGAAAGTTTGCTAAACAAACAAAAATGTTCTTGCTTTTGTTCTGCCTTAGAAATATCAATCATGTCATAGAATTTAAGGCCAGAAGGGATCACGTATCCTCTAGACCAGGGGTTGGCAACCTTTCAGAAGCGGTGTGCCGAGTCTTCATTTATTCACTCTAATTTAAGGTTTCGCATGCCAGTAATACATTTTAACATTTTTAGAAGGTCTCTTTCTATAAATCTATAATCTATAACTAAACTATTGTTGATTGTAAAGTAAATAAGGTTTTTAAAATGTTTAAGAAGCTTCATTTAAAATTAAATTAAAATGCAGAGCCCCCTGGACTGGTGGCCAGGACCTGGGCAGTGTGAGTGCCACTGAAAATCAGCTCACATGCTGCCTTTGGCACGTGTGCCATAGGTTGCCTACCCCTGCTCTAGACTGACCTCATGTACAGCACTGGCCACCAAAGACCACACGGTCTGTTCTTAGAAACTAAGCAGCATCAAGTCTAATTAGTACTCAGATGGGAGACCACTTAGGTACTGGAAGACTCAGGAGGAATTGCTCTTCCCACCTAGTCAGTACCCCAGAATGGAACTAGGGGTTGCTAGCATTGCTCTTTTCTTTAGATAAAAGGTGAAAGCAAGCTCCTGGCCAGCTGTGGTTCTTAAAGGGAGTGATTTTTACAAGAGCACAGGGTCTTGGCTTCACTGTTTTTGACAACAGATTCTTACGTGACTCAAATGTAAACTAGTACCAGCTGTTAATTGAAAGATCAGGATGGTCAATTTTTAACACAGCTAACTCAACCCATGGGTAGAAAAGTGTTGCTATATCTCAATTAATCAGATTCCACCTGCATGATTAATCATAAACACCCAGTTCTCCAGTTCTCCTTAATGTTTTCCAGGACAAAAACAAGGGTAAACAAAATTGAATTTCTAATGTAACCAAACGAACAACAAAACAAAATAAAAAAAGAAGGGCTGTCAATTAGTCGCAAGTTAACTGACGCAATTAACTAAAAAAAAAGTATCAAGATTTAAAAAATTAATTGTGATTAATCACACTGTTAAACAATAGAATACCAATTGAAATTTATTAAATATTTTTGGATGTTTATCCACATTTTCAAATATATTGATTTCTATTACAACACAGAATAGAAAGTGTACAGTGCTAACTTTATATTATTTTTTATTACAAATATTTGCACTGTAAAAATGATAAACCAAAGAAATACAGTAGTATTTTTCAATTCACCTCATACAAGTACTGTAGTGCAATCTCTTTATTGTGAAAATGTAACTTACAAATGTAGATTTTTTTGGTTACATAACTGCACTCAAAAACAAAACAA